GTGTGTGTGTGTGTGTGTGTGTGTGTGTGTGTGTGTGTGTGTGTGTGGGATGACAGTGAAGTGATTTGAGTTCGCCTGACATAAACATTCCTGTTCTCATATACACACACTTACACACTCCCACGCACATCCACCATAATCACTGCAAGAGAATACAGTGTTGAGTGCTGTGTGTGTGTGTGTGTTGTGTTTACTTGAAGGGAGGTGAAATGATTTCACCTGACAGAAACAATGCTGCTTTCTCTCCGTTTCTCTTTCTGCGCCAAGCCGAACACACCGACAGAAGCAGACACACAGAGCCAGACACAGACACACACACACACACACGCACACACACACCCACACACCGACACACAGTGATCTGACAAGCTGCTGTTGCCGTATCATATGGGCTAGTACTTCTTTGTACTTGCTGCATTGCATATTGTCTCTCCAGAGCTCGCTGTCATCAACTTTTTTTAATCTAGTCATCCATGTGTCCAGCTAGATAAACAAGTACATAATAATAATGCATATTTCATTTTGAATGCTTTTGTTTGTATTTGCTGATTTAAAGTGCAATTTAAAAATGGCATGTTTATATAATAAAATAGTCATGTCCAAGCAGTGATTTCACATTCAGTATTCTGGTGACACTTGAGCTGCCATGAGGACGGGATGATGAGGATGGAGGAGTTCAGTGTTTTTTTTATTATGTCAGCATCACTTCCTTGACAGGTTGGCAGGCAGACGAGCAGAAATCTCCATTCAGCCAAGGAAACATGGGGTGGTTAGCTTAGCTTAGCACAAAGACTGGAAACAAGGGGAAAAAGCTAGCCTGGCTCTGTCCAACGGTAACAAAATCCACCAACCAGCACCTCTAAAGCTCTCTAATTAACACATCATACTTCTTTGACATTGTCGTTTCATTAAAACAAACAATGGGTTATGAACTATCTCTTGGCCGGGACAACTGACTTCCTCGGATTTCAGCTGGTTGCCTGGCAACTGTTCCCAGCCGTGAAAGAGTTCAGCACATAGCTCCCAGTGAGTGAGTACGTTTTACAAATCAAACAATCAAGGTATCACGTGTTAGCTGGTGAGCTTTAGAGGGGGGGGTTTGTTGTAATTGGGCAGAGCCGTGTTAGCTGTGTCCCCCCTGTGTCCAGCCTCTACGCTAAGCTAAGCTAACCTGCTGGCTGTAGCTTCATATTCAATGGACAGACATGTGGTATCAAACGGGCATATTTCCCAAAATGATGCACGACTTCTTCAAACTCACTTCAGTAAGAGTGAACACATTGAACCTGGGATGATCGGAAAAAATTGCTTCTCCTCCGTCCCATCTCAAAATGCTGTTTTTCCTCAACTGCCTGTTTGCAGCTGATGACTAATGAACATTCATCTGTTTATGAAAACCCTGCTTAGACATCGGCCGATAGCTGTTTCCCGGCAGATGATGGATTTGGGTCATGTCTGTGGGTTTGTCTGAAAAGATAAATGCTTAAAAAGATAGATCGACATGCCGTGAAACTTCAATGTTTGGGGAAACTGCGTCATGGTATCGACGCGTGGAGCAAATAAAACATGCGAGAGCTTTTCTCAGGAAGCGATGTACGTCTCAATGAGTCTCTGTCTCTCTCTACTCGATGTTTCCCTCTACAGGTACCTGATGAATGTGACGTTCGAGGGGCGTAATCTGTCGTTCAGCGAGGACGGATACCAGATGCACCCCAAGCTGGTCATCATTCTGCTCAACAAGGAGAGGCAGTGGGAGAGGGTGAGAGACACACAGGAGAGGAGAAGGAGAAAGTTGTGTGTGTGTGAGTGTGTACATCTATGCTCAGCGGTGTCCTTTAAGTACTGTACCTGATCGGTCCAAGAGTATCTGTCTGTCTACCTGCATCTCTTATCATCTGATTTTCACTTTTTAAGCATTTTCAGCCTTAAGCTTTACAGGCGCTGCTCTGATTAGATGCTATCAACTCGGCGAAGGTGCCTTTGAGCAACACACGGCACAGCCCACGGGCTCCAGAGTGATGAGGTAGTAAGAATGCTGGTCTGTTCGTTTTTAAAAGTTTGGGAAGCTATTACATATCATTTGTCGAGTGTGCAGCATCATCATCATCAAGTGGTCATGCTGTACATCGTTAGTAGAGACTTCCACTTTCAGATAGGACAAATATTATGCGCATGTTGTGCTGCACATTGCTCATAGTACGTAGGCTTCCGCTAAGAATCATCTCGGTAATGGTCGGATTTGCTTACAGGGTCAATTTGCCACCTTTTAATGTCAATGGCCAATCAGTGCTGATGGAGCAATAAATTCCTCAGTGCGCGCTTTATTGACCGAGAAAGCTGAGTCCTCCTTTTTCGTGGAGCCGTGCCGGCAGTGCCTACATGTACCAGGATGCATTGCGCACAAGTTACTGACGGCCAGTCAAAACGTACTGTGGCCGAGTTGCGCCTATACTATTGCAGATAATAAAGTAAAAACAGCATCACATTACAGCTTCACTCCTTCACTGTTTTTACCTTTCATAATAAAAGCCCAACTTATAAATTCACTCAGCATTTCACAAAGAGACGACTCAACAGAACAGCTGATAATAGTCCAAAATACTCACTCCATGGTCGTCTGCCCCGCTTGGCCCCCGCTGGTCTTGGTTGTCTTTTCTAGTTCCTGAAGCACACTTCTGTCCCAAGTGAGAAGGAAAACTTTCATGCATAGTAACGCACACACAGGCTCTCTGGGGGTTAATTGGCGTCGGCTGCAGCAGCCAACAGAAACTGCCCACGCTCACATTCGTTGCAGCAGGATGATGCTGTTTCTGTTGGCATCGGAGGGCCATTTGAGTAAAGACACCGCCAGTTGGTGTTGTCTGTCGGCAGCTCAGTTCTCTGGAGGGAATGCAGCCCGGACTAGTTTGCAGCACAAGTGAGGAGGGCGAGGAAGTTCGGTTCCCCCCCCTGGAAACCGCCAAATAGGTTGTAGCGTTGACATGTTTTTGTAGTCCAGTAGTCAAATGTCATTCAAGGATCCTCTGAATCTCTTACACGGAGCTACAGGTGCTCGGTAATGCAGCACTGAACAAACAAACAAGACAAACGATTGCACAGATTCGTTCTGACACTTTATTACCTTGTTTTTCCCAAATGAAAATGAAAATGCACATCCACAGGAACGACCGTTTACAGTCTATCCGTTATGCTCACAAGGTAGACGGTGAAGTTGGTCTGCGTGTCTGTAATTCAGGAATCCGATTATCTGCAATTTAAAAGACTGTGGTAGTACTGGGCGGCTGGCTCATGTGTGACCGAGTAAAAATACAAACTTTGTATATGCACAGTCAGCTTTCTCTGAATATGAAGGTTAAAAGCTCTATTGTACAGATGGAGAAACGGATTCGAGTAATACATTCTTTAAGTACAGGTGGAGGAGACGTCGGCCGTGCAGACGGGGCAACATTAATCCTGAGTCACACACCGAACCAACACCCTCAAACGAACTTGATGCTCAGCGCCACCTGCAAAGTCACCAGCCTGCATCTGTGTTTCCTCACGCTCCCCCTCCATTGTGTCTGTGTCCTGCCGCCTGACTCCTTCCACTCTGCCTGTTCTTTATTCTCAGTGTTTCTCTCTTTCTTCCGCCTCTCTAATCTATATTCCGTCCTCTGATCAGAGAACAAGGTGAATCGCTCCCCTCTCTCTTCTCTCTCTCTTTTCTCCCCTTGCAGTCTGCACCACCTCCTCTCTTCTCTTCCCCCTCCTCCTCCTCCTCCCCCCCTCCGCTCCCTCGCTCATGTTTAATTCTTAGCTTGACTTCCAGCTGAACCACTTTTCTTGGATCCTAATGAGTTCCAGCTCCTACAACCGTGCCTACACTGCACCTTTTTGAAGTAGCATGAAGACTCCGCGGTGTCCAGGTCCAGCTTACTCCCCTCGGACTGATTTGAACCCTCTTCTCTACCTCCCTCCCCTACTTTCTCTCCATCCCTGTCCGTCTCTTTCACTAACTCCCGCTCACTCTCTTTTTTTCCCGGTCCAGAAGGCTGCATTGTGCCCCAGAGATACACAGCCTTAACTTGTCTACTCCAGGCAGCCTTGGCAAATTTGTCTTCCCTGGAGTGATGCATGTGTGTGTGTGTGTATATTTACATATTTAACGAGTGTGCAAACCAGACTTTACACACTCGCGCCTCGGCTCCCTGTCCTGCCCTCTCTCTCCCATTACTGTGTGTCCAATTAGCTGCCGATCCATATCCATTTCCACCCACGTCTTCCTCTCCGTGTAAGTGGCCGAGTGGGCCCTTCTAGAGGAAAGGGCGCAGGCAGAGTCGCCAGGTATGGTTCCACGTGACGGGGACATTTTTCTAACTGAAGTGAAGCCATAATGTGCTGGCGGTGCCCTCCAGACCTGCAGCCGGACGCTCCTCTGCAGAAGAGCCAGCATTTTGCGTCTGAAAGAGCTCCACGTCCGGCTTTCTTTCTCAGCCACACTTGACTCTTTCTCTCTGCAAATGTAGCCGTTTCCTCACATTTCTCTTTTTATTTGTTTAATCTCTCCATCCAGTTCCCTCCCAAGCCTCCCCTCTTCATCTGAATTCTGCTCTTTCCCCCCCGTTTCAGTAGTGTCCTTCCCGTTAACCCTTTTCCTCATTCTCTATGCTGGGTGCCTTTTCCCTCCTCTCCTCCTTTGGGGTTTTTCTTCTCTGCTCTCTTCCCGCTAGCTTTCTACGTCCATGTGTTCATTTGTGCAGTTTGTTATTGTCATGACATGCTCCTGTTCCTTTGTTACCATACTGTTGTTTTATTGACAGACGGACTAATCACAGATAAACCCAGAAAATGAGGCAATAAAACCGACCCTAAAGAATGACATGCTTTTGAATACTAAGCATCTAACTAAATACCAAAGCATTCCACTCTAACTGTCCGCAAGAGCAGAGCTGAAGTCATTTTTGATGCACTGGACTCACTGCGGCGTGGAATTTGACCCGAATTCATTTTCGAAATTAGATTCCTGCCAAGTGATTCATGTCATGTATGTATTTTTGCTTTTGTTAGCATTGAGTTGATGAACCGTGTTTGCGTTTTAACCCCCTTGGTGAAACTGAAATCTTAATCTGCTTCTGACATTTTTAAGGCGATCTGAAGGAGCTTTTGTTTTTGCCGCGTGTCTCTGCAGGTGGGTAAATGGGAGAACGGTTCCCTGTCCATGAAGTACCACGTGTGGCCTCGCCACGAACTGTACGGGGGCGCGGCGAGCAGGGAGGACGACCACCTGTCCATCGTGACGCTGGAGGAGGCTCCGTTCGTCATCGTGGAAGACGTGGATCCACTCAGCGGGACCTGCATGAGGAACACCATACCCTGTCGGAAACAGATCAAAACACTGTGAGACTTACAGCTCAGATATACCAAATCAGTGTCAGACAGGAACAAGAGTAAGGACGCATGTCAAGAAGAAATGCATTTCTGTTAAGTATCAGGTTATTGTGAGAATTGAACTTGGCACAGTTAGATACAGACTACCTGCTGCAGACGTGACCAAAGTAGAAAGGGAAAAGGAAAAAGCGAAATGGCTAAATGTTGCCTGCGAATGATGTTAATTTCCCGCGACAGCTTTACAGAGCCAGAGGTAGAATCACTTCACACTCCGTCGGTGCGGGAGTGACAGTGCCACATCCACCAAATCACGACCACAATTAGCAACTCATGCCGATTCCGACAGAAGTACACGTTCGATTAACTCGTTTTCCTGTCCGTCTGTCCACCTTGTTCGTCCGTCTCTGCAGCAATCAGACGAAGGATTCGGGGATCTACATAAAGCGCTGCTGTAAGGGATTCTGCATCGACATCCTGAAGAAGATTGCCAAGACGGTGAAGCTCACCTTTGACCTCTACCTGGTCACCAACGGCAAGCACGGCAAGAAGATCAATGGGACGTGGAACGGCATGGTGGGAGAGGTGAGGAGATAACTCGTGTGTGTCAGTCTTCCTATGGCTACGTCTGTGTCTTACTGAAAACCTGCTAAATGTTCAGTCAGAGGCCTGCAGGTCAACAAGTGAAGCCTCTCTGTGCTTGTCGTGGTCATGCGTGTGTAAATGATATGACAGTCTCATTAGTGCAGTTTGTTGGCAAAGCGTGCAAATGGAGATTGCACCTAATTCACCACTTTGCGACACCCTCTTATCATTATTGATGCTGCTGCCGTTTAAACGTCGGTGTTAAGACGTTTGATCTGTCAGAGCGCGACGCAGAGAGACACATTTGGCAGCGAGTCCAGGCCAGGACAGGAGAATAGCTTCGAGGCTTCGGTGCACCGAGCAGTCATCAGTCAGTGCAGAAGTTGACATTTAAATGTGTTCAACAACAATTTGGGGAAAATAGGAAATTGAAATTACTCTCGACAAAACGGTCCAGTAGAAAACACTGTGAACATTGCACACTGACGGCAACGTACCACTCGGATCAGACACTTTTATATTTGCCCATTAAAGTATTTAGTAATGTCTGCTACACATTTTCAGTTCCTCACGACGATTCCAGAAAAAAACATACAGCATCATCTCAAATCATATTGACACTTTCACGTTGTGCAGTTACCAAGTCCATGTATTTTAGGGTCTTTAATTACATGACCAGTTTGTTCCTGAAAAGTGGTTTTATTTACGTTTCTTAAAGCTATACAAATTTGATTTGGATTTGTTTTATATGTGTTTCCCATACTTCCACACAATAACTAATGTATGGTTGTATAAGTGAACGGTACTTGTACAGTAAGTCAATAGATCTTTGCTCTGATATCATATCTATGTGGTTGCCAACTTGGTTTATCGTCTATCATCATCACACCCAAACATCTTATTGTTTTCAGACTCCTTTTCAGTTTCAGCATCACTTATCATAAGTTTGCTTTGTAAGTTTGTTACACAATTACCAAAGAACATCTTTGATTCAGATAGTTTGCTAAAGTAAAATGCTTTAAAAGTTTCAATTTCTTTTCCAAAATCAAATTTGTATCGTCTGCAAATAATCTTTTTTTTTTACGTCTGGCAGCTGAAGTGCACATTTTACAGTTAGATAGCTTTAACACTGCAAACAAGACGAAGCTGTGTGCTCATAGGTGTTTGAGATGAGGGAGAGGAAATTCCCTAATCGACATTGGTCCCGAGGTAAGGTCGCTGTCTGTTCTCGTGCTCAAACCCACAGCCGTGCCGACTGACTTTGGCTATTACTTAAGGAAGCAAAAAGGGCAAACGGATCGATAGGAGCCCAAAGGTCGCAGGTTGACGACACGCTCTGTGTCTCTTTGTGTGGACGGCCGAAGTTTGAGCAACCTTCAGAAGTCACAGTCAAGGTGGCGTGTCTTGTTCTAAAGTTTTGCTCTTCAATTTACATTAAACTGACCCATTTAATCTGTTACATAAAGCCAGTTAAGTGTCTTTAGTGGGCACTGAGCTGGAAGTGTGGTCACCTGTAAATAAACGCATTCCTCTGGACTAAAAGCGCCGTAATGTGCCGCCGCCTCCTCACCTGCGCAGATGAATGGTCATTAGGAGGATGGCTCATGCGCACACACACACACACACACACACGCAGACAAGGGACACTTATGCATGAACGATGACAGGAATAAAAGAATCCATGCGTGAATGCGGACACATGGACACAGACAGGCACACACACCCAGACTGTTTCTATATGTGGACAGAGAGGACACACTCGTAATGTCACTTTATCTCCCCACACACACACACACACACACACACACACACCGTATATATCTGCTGTATCTAACACAACCAACCCGTGTCCTTCTACAGATGGAACGAGGCCAAAACTACAGTATATCTCTCACCCTTAATGGACCAGAAGCTGATGCTGACACACACACACACACACACACACACCCTCTAGGATGTGCCTCACAGAGATAACTGAGGGCCGTTGCATAACTTGCCACAGCTTGAAAAGAAAGAAAAAAGATCAAAAAGGGAAGAATAAAAATCAATGAACACTTTTAAGATGGCCGACATTTTGTCATAACTCGATTCTGGCAGTCTGTGTCAGATTTCATGGGCTGCATTGACTTGTGCTGCCCCTAACACTCCTAATCTAAAATATTAGAGGCAATACACTTGATTACATGAGTTTGGCCTCGCCAGAACAGTCGCATAAAGAGACACACACACACCAGCTGAGACACATACCCAAACGCAGATCCTCGCTCACTCATTCTCAATAACACCCACACGGGTCACTTTCATAACGCTGAGAGAACAAGTCGTAGGAGGGAGATGGAGAGAGCGAGTGGAGAGAGAGAGAGGGGAAGTGAGTACACTGCTGGATGGACTCGCTCTCCTCCCCGGGAAGACATTCGCACATTCAGGCACCAACACACACACACACACACACACATCCGTACTTACATGCTGACAGAACAAACAAGAGTGAAAAAGTTACAAATGCACGCCTGCTAGCAGACACAAACACTTTGAAAACTGCAGATAATGTGCAGAGTAGATGTGCGATATTCTTCGACGCCTGTAAAGGTGCACTTCACAGATGGGGAACAAAGGTTCGCTCGCTTCTCTGTCTCTCTGTCTTTTTCCCCTTTTATGACTCACTCATATGCGCACACACACACACACACACTGGAGCTTGGACTCACACAGATACAAACGCCTTATTAACTCAGTAAGACAGTCCCCTTTGTGCTGCAGGGCTGTACAGATTTAGGGTCTAAATATACCACCTGTGTAGTGACGGGAGCGAGGCAGGTAGAGGAAGGAGAGAGGCATTGGGGCGGCTATTTCAAGCAGCCATGACCCACTGTGGTAACCCACTTTTTCCTTCCTCCCTCTTTGTCCCCCCCCCCCGGGTACGCGCATCACGAGTGTCCACTCCGAGCTGTTTGTTGTCCTCCTGCTCTGTCTTTGTCTCTGATGTCTCCAAGTCCGTGTTTCATTGCTTCCCCCTACCTCATTCTAATTCTTCCTCCGCTTTTTAAAAAAAGATGTATTTTCCCCCTCAAACCTGTCCGATCTGCTTTAATGTCCGATTTCATTTCCTGCATTCCCCCAAAAATACTTTTCGACAGCTAACGGAGAGAGTGCCTGAATCTGCCGCATGCTTTAATACATGTATAACAGAGACAACCGCGATAGCGCCGCTGGCTTTTCCCCTTTTACTCGGAATGAGCTTGTTGCTGAACCGCAAGGCGGGCGGTTGAAAAAACGGTTATTTTGGGGGAATGGATTCTGTCTTCATGATTGCTGAACTTCGCCGTAAAGCGATGCGTCTAGACAGAAGATATTGCTCTTGGATTATTGGCGCTGGCACTAAAACCTAATATTTATTCCTGATGTATTAGATTGCTGAAGAGGCTCAGTCACATTTACTCATTCGTCCAGAAGAAAGGAGAGCAGGACCATCAAAATGGACAAAGAAATGCACGGGACATGGGAGAATGTCCACCTCATGGCTGTGATGAACTATTTTTAAGATTGTGTTTAAATGCTGGTTTTTATTTCACGATCAACTAATAACTATCTTGATTTTGTTTTTTTGACGTTTGAATAATGGCCGCTCTTCGTCTTTCTTCTCTACCAGGTGGTGTTAAAAAACGCCCACATGGCCGTCGGCTCCTTGACCATCAACGAGGAGAGGTCAGAGGTCATCGACTTTTCCGTCCCCTTCATCGAGACGGGCATCAGCGTCATGGTCTCCCGTAGCAATGGCACAGTTTCGCCCTCGGCCTTCTTAGGTGAGCGGCGCAGCATCCAGCGCTGCTCATTATTAACAGCCTCCTGCTGCTGATGGAGGTTTACGCTCACAAACTGTACATCACCATTTTTTAAATCTCTACATCTACTTGTTCGATACATTTAGCTGCATCGTGTTGTGTAGGCCACGCCCATTTCCGCCAGTTTTGCGAAATGTTTGACAATTTCCCGCAGACTGTTTGACTCTTTGGAATGAGTTTAGCCAAAGTTTGAACTTAATGTAATATGTACATTTTCGCTGTATGGATCTTTGTCAGGTCACCTTTGGTTGACATCCATTTGTACACCTTCAGAAAGTGATTTGGTGCACCCATGTGATTCGAGCCATGTTTGAACGTGTTTGTATGATGAGGAGGCAGACTGGAGTGCTTGATAATATGGCTAACTGTTTATGTATTCTCTCTTTCGCTCCCTGTCTCTTTGCCCTCTTATATTTCCCACTCCCACTCCATTTCTCTTGCTCTTCCTTCCTCTTCTCAATCTGGTGCTCCACATTTGCATATCTCTCTTGCCCTCTCTCACTTTTTTTCACTTCCTCTCTCTCTCTCTCTCTCTCTCTCTCTCTCTCTGCCGCCCTCGCTCTTTTCTCCCTCATCCTCCCTCTCCTGATGTCTCCCCCGTCTTCTGCCTTCCTACACACCTCTTCCCCCTCCCTCTCTCTTCTCTTGTCCTAATCTCTGTCCGTCCACCCTCCCTCCCTCCCTCCCTCGTCTCCCTTCATCTCTCCCTCTCCTCTCTTCCCTCCCTCCTGCCCTCCAGAGCCCTTCAGCGCGGATGTGTGGGTGATGATGTTCGTGATGCTGTTGCTGGTGTCAGCAATGGCTGTGTTTATATTCGAGTACTTCAGCCCTGTGGGCTACAACCGCTGTCTGGCTGACGGCAAAGGTGAGAGGCTCCAGCTCCACACACACACACACGCCCACACACACACACACACACACACACACACACACATACACACACACACACACACACAGGTCTATGGTACCTGTTGTGGGAGGGCTCTACTTGTTTGAGGATATAGATGTAAATGGCTGCAGATATTTTCTCCTTCATCTCTCAGACCACACCAGATGGGAGGGCACGCTCAGGTTGAATTTACCAGAGAAATGATACCGTTGCAACATGCGCTCAAAGTGACGTATTACTTTGGAATGAAGGCGAGAGTTTTCAGCACTCCGCAGCAAATCTGTTGTGTAGGAAATGTACAGTAATGCTGTCCAGATAACGTTTCTCTACAAGACACCAACGCGTCTTACAGTGAGTGTCTCTGCCAACACAAACTGTTCATGCTGAACACGAGCAACCCAAGGCGCTAGCTTTACGGTCATCAGATCAAGGTGCTGGTTCAATATTGAAAAATGTCAGCACTGATTTGAAGCACAAGCTACGTGTAGCCTGTGAGTGATGTATAATTATATATTTTGTCCAGTGGTTCACAAATGAAGGACCTGGATGAAGGATAAGTGCATTTTATTGGGGACAGGGTTGCCTTTTGATATACAGTGATGATGTTTGGTGAATCTGAAAATCTCACTTCTAACACACATGCTGTGTCAGATGCCTCTAATATTCTCATTTACTCCCTTTCTTGTGGCATCAAACTACCATTTGCACTGATAAGTTGATAGATGAAATGATGGAAGTGGAAGTCGGTGGCTCATATCCCCACCGGTACCAGCCCTCCCCAGTGTTCGGTTTCCTGTTGGCTTTAAGTTTCTGGCATTTTGTCAGGTTTCTGATTCTCTGAATAGCGTCAGACTAGCAGAATGTTAGGCAGCCAACATAAAAAGTCCTGGATGTGAGATTATCATCAGCACATGAAAGCAGTAAAATTGTTTTTGGCAATAGAAACAGTCTGATGTTGGAATCCAAATCGAGTGTCCACCAAACTCCAACATTCAACGAGGGAGTGAAACCATGGAATGCTTTCATCTTTGCTGGTGAAGTCAGCGATCGAGGATCCAAAGTATGCGGAGAACATGGCGGAGAGAGAGAGCGTACGATGAGTAATGCTGTAACTAGTCATTTGCACCAAACGGGGGGAGCACGGGTCCGGCTCTGCAGGCTCATGCTTTCTCTCTGCAGTTGTGCAAATTGTCTCGCGGTGCACAAAGACCGACGGAGACACAGACATGCACAAACAGACCGCGGTGCCGTCTCCACATATAGACCAGCCTTCCTCGCTGACCCTCTGACTTCATCTCCTCCTCCTCCTCCTCCTCTTCCTCCTCCACGCTGCTCTCCTTTGATCCTTCGCAGGTGTGTCTCACTGCCTGGGATCCAACACACCTCAAGTGCCGCTTCCTTCACACCGAACAAGGCTTTTGCATTCATTTCCATATTTCCCAAAAAAAATCACGTGTCAGCTCTGACAGCTAGGGGCTAGTTTTGTGTTAGATCTCCCCCACCCAAAAAAGATAAGAAACAAAAAAAAAAATAATCAATGTCTTCCCACAGCTCTCTGAAGTGGCTATATATAGACAATGGCTATCTTTTCCCTTCATTCTTCTCATCCTTCATCATGTTCTGGAGAAGATGTACTCCTCCCTAAAGCGCTGTTCTCTTCTCTGTGTGCCTCCTTGTTTTTTTATCTGCTTGTTGCGCGGTGGGAGTTTGGTATCACGAAGAGTGCAGATCGAAGTTTGGACTCAAAAGGATTCGACGTAACGATGTATCAATGGCCTGACTGCAGATTTGTAAAGTCTCTGCCCGATTCATTTAAACAACTTTCTTCACAAAAGTTCACGGAGGAGATGTTTGGCACCATGAAGTCAGTTCGTCCGTGAACAAAAGCCCCACACAACAATACACACCCACACGCTCGCGCGCGCTCACACATACCCACACAACAAATTATGAACCAACTGCTTATCGCAGCACAATGGCTGGAATGAACCCGTCTGCTGCCAGCTCACTGGTGAATTGGACCAACACAGTTCCCTAAATTATACAAAAAAAAAATGAATGTGTGACACATGTGTGATGTATGTGTATAGAGCCCATATAAGTGATCTAAAATAACAAGTCTATAGCCATGCTAGCAGCTCTGTGGGGCTACTAAATGCTAAACGGTAACGTGGTAACATGCTCACAAAGACACAGAAGGGCTGATGTTCAGCAAGTATAATGTTGACCATGTTCTTCAGCTTAGTTTAGCTTGTTAGCACGCTAACTTGCTGGCACTGAAAGGTGCAGCTGAGGCTGATGTGAATGCCATTAGTTTTGCAGGTATTTGGTCACAAACGACAGTAATGGACTAATTGAACCTTTGACGTGATTATGGCGCTACATGAAAAGTCGCGTGATCACCAAAGTTATTACAATTCCAGTTCGTCCAACAGATTTGGACTGGTTCAGGAATCAAATAAGACATTAGGTTTCATTCTACTGAGCAAAAGGCGCTGCTCGGCTGGAGACCCACCAGTAAAAGCGGACCAACTGTGTGACCCACGCGCCGGTTTCAAAACCAAAGCTGATCCGTCCGTTGTTTCTTTCAGAGCCTCACGGTCCATCCTTCACCATCGGTAAGGCCATCTGGCTGCTGTGGGGTCTGGTGTTTAACAACTCCGTGCCGGTGCAGAACCCCAAAGGCACCACCAGTAAGATCATGGTGTCGGTGTGGGCCTTCTTCGCTGTCATCTTCCTGGCCTCATACACTGCCAACCTGGCCGCTTTCATGATCCAGGAGGAATATGTGGACCAGGTAACTGGTCTCTCAGACAAAAAGGTAAGATGGAAGGTTTTCTGTTTGATGCTGCGCCAGCCCCGTCTTCTTTTTCTCACCTGCACCTTTTAACGTAATAAAGTCCACGCTTCACATGCCTCTCTCTCTCTCTCTCTCTCTCTCTCTCTCTCTCTCTCTCTCTCTC